GTAAGTGTAAATTTTTAATTAATTAACTATAGTTTATTAGCAACTTGCACACTAGAAACTAAACCTGCACATTTGTACTCTTCAAATCTGAACTATGAGTCTGTAATCTATAACAGAAAGTAGAAGAATGTGTGAATTTAGGAATCCCCTGTAAGAAGAATGAGTTGTGTTGGAGTTAACCACTTTAAGAATATATAATATATCTCCTTTCTTCTTTTGAAGCGGCTTTGAAAAAAGTACTTTTCTTGCATGTTGCACCATTAAAGAAATCTCTTTGCTTGAAGTTTGAAGGACACATCAGCTTCAGTAAATAGATTAAAACCTATGTATACAATATCTAAAAGGAAAGACAGTTAAAACTTAGGTTCAACTATTAACATTGAAGAGACACTTTTTATCAGAGAGCAAATGATGGCACAAGAGAAGGAGTAATACTAATTGTTTACAAAGTTCTCTTAAATACACAGATTAAGCTGATGTTAGGGAGGTTATTTCTTCTCTTCTTCTGACTACCATAACATTTCTGAACTAAAATATTTCTAAGCTGTAATGGATCCGTGAGTTTTGTGCAGCTAAGTGGTTTTCAGGCTGACAGAAGAATATTTCTGGAAGTGGGCTAATGCTTGGCCGACTTGGAATTCTGAATAAAGCCGTGTTTGGGTCCCACCCAAACACATGGAGTGTGTTGTCCACAGAGAGCGCTTCCACTGCGTCCTCTGTGCGGTTCTGGTGGTACCTGTGAAGAAAAGGTGCTACTGCTGGAGATGACTATTCTGGTAGCTGTTCTGCTGTGATGGTCTTCCCCACCCCTGCCCTGCATCATCAGCTAGCTTGCAGGGTGATGGAAAGAGAATAAACAAAACACAGTCTTTCTAAATGTTATTTTGCTAAGTCTTATATGGAATCAAAATAGTGTAACCTCTTAGCTAAAAAATAAGTGAACGATCTAGTTTTGGCCTATTGTACTTAACATTTCTTCTTTTAGAGGTTCTTATTTCCTTTCCTAATCCCTCTAAGACAGTGAACTCACTCTGATGCTTGCACTACAGAATAACTTTGTGCATCCAGAGGAGGTCACACTGTATAGCCATCTCAGTCTAATACAACTTTGTAGATGTACTGAAGGAATGTTACATGGTGGATGTTCCTGCTATCTGAAACCAAATTAATTACTTTGTATGTAGATCTCTTGCCTAATATAAGAACATAAGAGTAGAAGAGGCTTCATGGATGATCTTATCCAACCCCCTGCTACTGAAGACCATCATGTCTTTAAGGATTACAAATTTATGACATTTCATTTTGGAACCTGTGGGAGATTCTTCCCCTTTTGCTGATTTTCAAGATACGTTTCAGACCCTTGTTCTGTGATGGCTAAAAATTCACTATAATTTTCCCATTCTAACTTACTTGTGGCTGATTTATGTCCATTCACTAAATGCTTATTTATTTCCCTTCCCTGATGTTCTCCGCTATGCTTTTGGAAACAGTGGTAACATATCCCTTTTGTTTTAAACTAAGGCAGAGACACTCTTAGCATTCTTTGGGAAGAATTGTTCTCTGCTGCATGATCCTCCCTCTTAGCACCTTTGTGTGCAGTCTTTTCTAGGCTGAATGAATCTTTGAGTATGAGAAACTAGAAATTACATGGTATGTTAGATGGCATCTATCCAGTGTCTTGTACACTGGATCAGTATGTTATCTGAAAGTACCTCTGCTGATGCTTTCTTGAGTCACCTATGCCCTGTTCATAGCTGTATCATATCATTAACTTGTAGTTAAGTAATGATAGAAATGTTGAGGTTTGAGGGTTTGTTGGGGTTTTTTTTTTCTTCCTGTCATTTTGGAACCATGAGCATTTTGTTTTGCTTTTTTTTTTTAATGAATTATATTTGAAAAATAGTATGATGGCTTCTTCATTCACATAATTTCCTACCTTCTGCCTTGGTTAGAAAATACTTCTTGGACTCTCACCGCTAATTGGAGAAAGTTAAATAAAATTAGTTTCCAGAGTAATTCTCAAGGAATGGTAAGAACTCCACTGGGGCCTTCTGTTCTCTAGGACAGTTTACCTTTCAGCATGGTGTATTTTTATCTTTTTCTTAGCTATTTGAAAGTTATTGTATAAACTTCTTCAGCCAGCCAGTCAATTCAGTCTTGATGCTGCAGTAGATAATAAGGCCAGATAAATAGATCTGTTAATTTTCTTTTGAAAATTGATGCTCTTCAAAGACACTAACTACGTGAGTCTGGTAAACCTATGTATAATTTTATCCCACTTTTCAGATACCTTTTGGGAGGAAGTCAGCTTTCTGTTGTTCTAAAATACATGCAGAACTTGGAGATAATTGCCTATGGCTTTTTGTGTCACCTTTTTATTTTATTTTATAGGTACCAGTGTTCTGTTTTCTAGTAATGAATGTTACTGATTTGATGTACTTAATTTAAAACTCTCTAGAATTGAAATAATTTTCATACTCCAGTTTTATTGTAGTTGTGAACTGGAAATTTATTGAACTCCCCTTCATAACATGAAACTCATGTTTATTTTCCCTTGGAAGACAAAAAATTTAATTTCCATCCCATCATTCAGAAGTCGTTCTGTCCTTGACCTGTGATCAGCATTATGGCTTTTATCAAAAAGAGTGGCAAAGTTTTAATTTAGGTTTTGTACATTTTTTGTGTTTTCGGTCTCTTCTTTATTTTTTATGTTACTAAACACTTATTTACTGTTGTTTTGATTTTGGTTTGGGGCAGTTTTTCGCTTTGTTTTGCGATGTTGTTTTTCAAAGCCTAAATTGCATGGACTTGAGGTGATTCTACCTTTTATTGCCATTTTTCCTGAGTTTAAAGACCAGTTGTTCTTCTTTTGTGTAGATTCTGTTTATTCTTAATAGCAGCTTTAGGATGTTACTCGTCTTGGAGTATTCCTCTATAAAAAGAAAGATTTTTCAATGGCTGGAGATTCAAGATATAAATGTTTTTTCCACGGTAGTTTGAAAGAATCCATGTCTTCTCTCATTCAGAATCTTGAGATTTCACTACTAGTTCACCTGGTGTTTTCTGTACTTGCCTCTTCAAAATACAGCACAGGTTTTGTTTGTTCAGCTATTTATACTGAAGGTCCATAGTATTTATTGAAATGGAATCTAAAATAATAATTGTGAAATCAGTGGGAGTTCAAAAAGACATTCAACCTGCTCCCTTTCCCTGAAAGAGAATCAATACCATAGCCTGCTTTTTAAAGATAGGCTGAGTTTAAAAACCTCTGGTGATGCAGGTTCTACAACTTGTCAGGTTTTCCAGCCAGTTTCTTCTGGTGCTTTGTTGTACTTACTATAGAAAGTGCTTTATATCTCAGATGAATTTTGCTTTCTGAAACTTATTCCGTGCACAATGGGTAACAGAATATTTTCCTTTTCTTGGAGTTTTACATATTTAAAACCTGTGTGCTATTGTCTAAGTCTTTCAACCACAAAGTTGATTTTTTTGGAGGAACAGAAGGGAGAGTTTTTCACTTCTCTGCATGTTTTTTGTTTTGTTTCGGTTTTTTTCCCTTACAGACCTTCAATTGGTCAGATCAATCAGAGTGGAATACAGCAGCAGGATTAATTAACATGTTTTGCAGACTATTCTTCTGTTTATTTATACCAGTGTGGTGTTTACAACATTTGCAACAATATTGTCCACTCAGATTTCATTTGTGATCTACTGTAATCATTGTGTATTGTTGTTGGTACTTCTTTTCCTTCTAAGAATCAAAAATGAGCTGGTTGGTCTACATGATGCTTTATTGTTTCAGTGACTGGTGAAGTTAGCTGTAGTTATACCATCCAGGGATATCTGGATTATATAGTTATAGGTCTTTAGTCCGACTATTAATAATAGCATTTATCCTTCAAACAAATGTTTCCATTCACCTGGAAGTTTAAGATCTGTCGTGATGATACAGTTTAATATGTTGACGTTGTGATACAGTGCAAGGTTCTTAGTTTTCACACTACACAAAATTAAATTCTGAAGTTCTTTGCTGTCTTTCTAAATTAGGAGTTGTTGCAGAGTTAGTATCAGGTCAAAAACAATTTAATTTTTAATATCACTATGCCAAACCCCTAATTTACAGATATAAGTGATACCATAAAGGCTGTTTGTCATCTTTTGTTTGTTGGGTTTTTTTTAACCAGGAAAGGAAAAAGTATTCCATTCAACATACTCAAAATGTTCTCAGCACTTCCTTACACTTAGATTTTCAAAGGTGGGTTGTGGGTTTAGTCAGACATTGCTACCTAGGTGAACAGTCAGAGTAGTAAGAAGCAGCAGGAGTAGCAAAGTAGTAGCATCCTCTGTTCATTTGGATGAAAAAAAGATAGGTAAATTATCAGTGATTTTAAACATGTGATACTTAAAACAGGAGTATGCTCGCTCTGTACGCCTTAACTTCAGAAATGGAAACCAATGTGTTTTTATGGCTGTGTCATCAAGAGATCAAAATAGAGTGGAGTAAGCTTTATATCATTATTCCATTCAAATATTGTTATTGTTAAATATTCAGCGATATTACTGTTTTCATTTTGCTTCTGCAATAAGATGAAAATCTTTAAAAATGGAGAGAAATGGATCCCACATAAAGTCAGTACAGCTACTCTGCCTCAGTTCCCCCTCCTGGCATCAAATAGAAATCTTCATGGAAGAAAAGGATGCTGCAGTCTCCTTATTTGCAATAACTGCAACGTTGTTCCAAAAGCATGAATATCACTGAGGTGCTGCAGGTTTTTTTAGAGAAATAGGATGTTGGTCATAGGGTTTTTTCTGTTCCATACTGTCAAATGGGACTAAAAGCCACCATCTTTCTGCTGTCCCATTTCTAAGAGAGAGGAGGTCACAAATGTTCACAAGGCATTTAAGTATTTCAGGGGCATAAATTGCAAAGATGCTGCAGTATGTTCTTTCACAGAATATTTTCAGCTATTGAGACCATGGTTATTGGATTCAATAAAGCC